AAGTGGGGGGAAAATATTATATTCTCTTTATTATTTTTTTTTTTATAAAAAAAAAAAAAAAAAAAAAAAATATATATATATATATATATATATATATATATGGTAAAAAGCAGTAAAATCCACCATTTAGCTGCTTCATAACTGTCATTTATAAAGGAGCTGCAAGAACACCAAAAGAAGTCCTGTATAGTTTAAGACATGGTAGGGATGCACCAAATCTGTATAAGCTATTGTGTTTTAAATGAGCGCAACAATAGTATTTTTTTTTTTGTGTTTGTTTTGTTTTCCACTACATGCAAAATATCCTAAATACTCAATCCCTACCATGACTCATAGCGGTTGCAGCATCTTGCTGTGAGAAGACCCGAGAGGGGAGGCAGAGTTTCGTCTTCTAGCAAAACACCAACCTTAAACATCTAGCAGGGCCAGTGGTGGAATAGCTAAGAACAAAGCATCTTCATGTGTTACTGGAACTAAATCCAATGTATAACCTATAGCTTTAAAATACAAAAAAAGAACTGCTCACACATGCTCCTGATTCACCTTGAACTACTTTGTACAGAAAAATTGGGTGAGAATATCAGTATCTGTATGAGCACTAGTGGTAGAAATTACAAAGGGAAAATAAATGCTTGTCATACATTTCAGATTTATTCTTACAAAGCATGTCGATGTCTTTTTCCTTCCACTTCACAATTAAACAGAACTCTGTTGGTGCATAAAATCTGTTTAATGCCCCGAAGTTTGTTGTTACAAGGTGGAAAAAAAAAACTGTGAAGAAGGTGAAGGAGTATTCATACTTTTGCCAAGGCATTGTTAGTCTCCTTCTGTGTAGCCAAATGATGACCTGTACCATGGGTGAGTCAGGTCCGACAAGTTTGTTCTCTCTAATCAGAGCAGAGATGGATGTTTTCACGAACCTTCTCACCTGCAACCTTCACTTTGAATGTTTTTGTTGTTTAGTTGCACACTTGGAAAGCAAAACTGAAAACTTGTGTTTTTATACTTCTTTTATAACTTGGTAAATTCAGCATTTACTCTCACACAGTATGATATTTTGCCCTTACATGAAGAACGGATGTGTCATCAGTGTACTCTTTGCTTTGGTTTGTCCCATGTAAATTGATTTGTAGAGGTCTTCTATTTATGGACATTCTTAATAAAAGAAGAGGTTATTAATGTTACTTGGCTTTATTTCTAAAAAGCACTTAGACGTTAAATTCAAATTCAAGGGACGTCGCGGCTCAAGTCGCTTCACACAAATGAGAAAATCCTATTGAAGGACATCGCCAGCTTTGGGGGGTCTTCTTGGCAGTGTTGCCGTTTCACTGGCAGCTGCTGCCTTTCCATCTGCAGGATGAGGGTCGACCTTCGGTGGAGTTTCGCTGCTTTGATAGGTGGCAAGGGACTGGATGTTCTGGAGCAGCGCCTTGATCTCTGGACTCTTCTGCTTCAGATAAGACTTAAGCGAGTCATGCACTGGCGCTGTTTGCTTGCTGACATGTTTTGTCTACAAAAAGCAAATAAAAAAAACCTAAAAAATGCAAAAGCAGAAGGGGTGATTTAGGTCTGAAATTGGGGTCATGCCACAACTTACGATCACACTAGCCTCTTTGATGACCTCCACGCTGTGTTTATTGGAGTTGAAAAGGATGCTGATATCTTCCTGGGATTGGATGTGGACTTTAAGGAAAGGGCTTAGGGTGAGGTGGAATGGCTGGCAGGGGGGAGCATGAACATGTTGCTCATTCTCCTGCCACTTCCAGCGTTTCTTCACATCTCCCGTTTCACTGTACAACGTGCCTCCTGTTGAAGTAAGATTAACCCTAGCGTAGAAAGGGAATCGCTTGAAAGATCTTAGTGACTCATGGATGCAGATTTTTCTGCAAATAAAATAGAAAATCTTACCAAATGTTGCCATTCTCATGAAAGCAGGTCTGCTCACTGCTGGTAAAAAGCGCCTTAATCTGTGGCTCATCGACTTTGTTCTCCAGGACCACCACACAGGACAAGTTCTTTGAATGCGACGTTGCCGCGAGGATGGCAAGTCTTCCCGACGGGTAGCTTTCCAGGATGATTAAGGAGACAACGTTCTACTCGTATCAAAGCGGCAATTTATCGCCAGGCCTCACGTGAGAGGATACCACACATGTCCAGTTCCATCTTGAAAAACCAAACAGAAAATTTTGCCATTTTTGTAGCGTCTGATAAATGGCACCGTCTGTTGATGCAAAGAAGGAATTTTCACTCATTCTTAATTTGTCCATATTAAGAATAAGTATAAATACAGATGTGTGAAAAGCCGTAGGATAAATTCATGTTCAGTTGGAGATGCATAGAACAGTAACAGTCAGAGGGATCTTATTTGAGTGCATTGTAAAATGCTGTTAAAAAGTATGCATCTTTTTATAACACCGCCAGCGCCATAATTGTTTGTACCCCTAACAATCTCGTTAAGGTAAATGCAAATAACACATTTCTTAATTTTTCACTCTACTTTTAGATTGATCAGAATGTCTAACTACTAATCCATCTCACATGGCAGCCCATATGCTTGTTCCTACAAAGCACCGCCTATTTCACAAAGCTTGCAGTCTCAGCCGAGATTCTGCCTCACAGAGCAACCCTCCCCCCCCCACTCAGCTCCCGCAGACTAGCGGCAGCGGCGATTAGCAAACACCTGGTGGAACTGTTAGTCTGCTGACCTTATCAGATGAACTACTACTCAGCGCAATGCTCTTAAGAACAAAACATTATTATGATGATGTGCTGAAGGCAGTGTGATGAAAAGGGCAGGAGCTTCTTAAAGAGACAGAAACCCAATTTCAAGGCGTGACACTACAAAGTAAAATTTTTTGTAAGTCATCTTTGCTACATGCAGCATTTTTATAACAACTGAAGGTGGTTACTTGGCTTTGCTATAAAATGCCACCAAGCACCTGGAAAATACATAATACCATCCCCTTTACGGTTTGTTAGCGTGATATTGTGCTAGTGCTACAACAGATACATTCACCTGAAGGCTTTCTACACATTTTTACTGTGATTTGAACATTTAACATGTGACATCACCTTTAGTCTCTCCTTCTTCACATTGAAAGAGAAGATGCTGTTGTAGCTCATTTCTCTTTCACCCTCCAATGCCCCCTCTTCTGTGGTGGACGACTCGTAATCCGAAAAATCACTTGAGGTGACATAACTGTCTACGTGTCCTGTAATGTTGTTAAAGATTTAACAACACAGATGAATAAAAGGGAATGATGGTAAAACCTTAATCTGCTTGCAATATGGTCCAGCAGGGGTCACCAACACAGTGCCCGTGGGCACCCGGTCCCCTGAGGGGACCTCGTCAGTCGTCTGTGTTCTGTCCATCTGTCATACCTCGTCAATCCAGCATACCTCGTGGTAATGCGCATGCGCACATCAATGTTACGTTTCTTATAAATCCGTCATACCTGTAGAAGTTTCATTTTGTGTGTTTAATTTCTCGGAAGTTTACGGTAAACAAAAAATTAAAATAAGGAAAAATATAGTTATTTCCACGCAGTGTCCAGAAAGAGGCAGTGTCCTGCTTGTTGCCTAACAGCTTCGGTCAGCATCCAGGGTTGTTCATGTGGTAATTTTAGGACATATTCAGCATCCAGCGTTATTCATGCTTTTTTTTATTTTTTTATTTTTTTAGGACATATTCTGTGCAGTTTCCTAAAGAAATATTGAAAAGGTAGATTAGCTGTAAGAACAAAATATCCCGCGGGAGACCAAATTTGTAGTCAAATAGTATTTGTAGTAATAGTGACGCTAAACGGGACTAATGTCTTGTTTACAGTTTGGTAACGATATTGGAAACAGCAAAAGTCATTTATGTTAATATGTTTGATTAACATATCAGCTTAATTAAAATTTGCCATAAACGTCTGAGAAATTACGGATTTATAAGAAATCTGCTGAGTAAGCAGTATGTGACGTAACACCGATGTGCGCATGCGCCTTACCATAAAGCAGGGGTCACCAACTCCAGTCCTCGAGGGCTACCATCCTGCAACTTTTAGAATCACGTCTGCTCCAAAATGTCTGAATTCCCTCACCAGCATTCATTCCTCTCTGCAATAGGCTGGAAACGAGCAGTTTATTTGATCCAGGTGTGTTTGAGCAGAGACGCATCTAAAAGTTACAGGATGGTAGGACTGGAGGACTGGAGTTGGTGACCCCTGCCATAAAGTATGCTGGACTGACGGTATGACAGAACACCTGTTGAGCAAGTTCTAAAAATAGCCATTGTCCTTAGGGAGCACTGACAAAAACAACAAAAAAGATTCAATTAAATGTTTTTACCTTGAAATAATAACATTTGTTTATTTTTAGATTTTTTTTTAAGTGAATTATAAAAACGTTTAAAATAATTTTCTGTACGTATAAAACTCTTCAGAATTATTCGCAGATGCCTGCAGGATGTTATCAGAGGGCAGCAGCGCCTGCAGCTGTACGGCTGGACCCACAGCACGTCAAAGCCTAAATGTTATTGGTCGGTTTACTTTTGTTTATTTGGCGGCTTGGCGCTTTTTCTGTAAGCTAAAACTGAATGAGCGGAGTTTGATCCCAGTCGTAGTTCTAACAGCGGTCGTTTGGATCCCGGCTGAGCTTTTTACCATGTGCGCGGTTCTGGTGGGTCACCGGATGACTGACGTCTGCCGCTCCTACTGAGCGCCTCAGACTGCGGGTTAAACACTTTAATCTAGTCGAAACGTCCCCCAAAAGAGTAGAAATTAAGCAAACAATCTTGCATCACCTTCTCCCCCTCTGGACGTCTGACACCACCTGAACCTGGGAATAAGCATCGCTCCTCTTTCCGTGGATCACACGGGTAAGGCTTCGCTTTCATGTCTTTATTATTTAGCATCGTTTGTTAAAAATAAAATAAAATTAAAAAAAAAAAGTCCGCTGCTTTTATGTTTGTGCTGGTTTTGCTTTGGGGAGGTTGTTGTGCTCTTGCAGGTCAGGTGCAGTGATAGTTTTGTGCTACTCTCCGATCTGTCTAACTTTTTTTTTTTTTTTTTTTTCGACGGGTTACCCGTCAGCTTTTCAGTTCGCGAAACCACAAAAAGGGTAAAACACCGGCGACCGGGTCAAAACCGCGCACGGTAAAAAAAAAAAAAAAAAAAGCTCAGGCGGGTTCTTAGAAAAACTGGAGGAGCTCATTCATTTTTAGCTCACAGAAAAAGAGCCAAATTAACAGAAGTAAATTGACCAATAAGATTTTGTCTTTTACGTGCTCACCCCCATAGACTCACACTAATGTACAAGATGTTTTGACTCAAAATATCTTTTTTTTTTCTCTACAATTTTGTTAATAGTAAAGAGGGTTAGATAATAAAACATACAATAACTGTTCCTTTCTTTTTTTTTATTTAAAGGAAAATCTCAAGGTACTCGGTGCATACAGCCGTACAGCTGCTGGTGCTACTGCAATAATCCATACTGTCAGTCATTTATGGGCAATTTGGAATCATACAGAAAAGCTCCAAAAGGGAATCAAACTTAAAACTCTGAACTAAGAACTTCTGATCACATAATAGCAATTAACCATATCATACCATGATAAATCATTACTGATAACTATTGTGAGTAGTCCCATTAACATGATTACACTGCATGTAATCATAAGTATCATTGTTATAAAGGACAAGATAAAAAAAAATGTCAACAATGTATTGTTTGATAAAGACAAGAACATTTGTCTTTATCAAACAAGTAGCCCTTTGTGTTACTCTGTACCTGTGAAGTGGCTCCCAGTCTCAAAAAGTTTGGCGACCCCTGATTCAGAGTATGTGTAACGGTCTTCATGTGAACCCTCTTTCGACTTCAGATCATGCCGCCTGGGGGTGTGCCATGGAAAATTGGAATTCAGATACTGACAGGTGTTGAAATTTAATTGAAAAAACAAGTTTAGTCACAGAAGGTAGTAACAGACTAGCAGTACTGACCTTTGATCTCCCTCTTTGTCTGACTCTCCATCAATCACCCCCTGGAAAAAACACAAGGTCTTACTTATGGTCTAGTTTCTAGTGCAAATATCTTCGTATTTGTGAAATAATACAACATTAACTTACAGGTAACCTTTAAGCAAGGCATACGAGCTTGTGTGAAGTTGATAATTTCTTAATACTGATGAAAGAGCAGTAGCTCAACTGGGAATTTTTTATCACTTACGTGAAAAATGTGGAGTTAGTACTTTTTTTAAATTCAATATCAAGCGATTATTTACTTAAAACAATCTCATGTTTCTTGGTGAAAAGTTACTTGTAAGTTAATGTTGTCTTACTCTAAGTGTACTAAGATATTTGTGCTTGAAATTACATCAAAAAAATACTTGCTAACATTTTGTGTTTTTGCAGTGGAGCTTCATGAGGCATTTTTTGCCGCAGAAAAACTAATGAGAAAAAAAAATGATATAAATATCCTAAATTCTGTTTTCATGCAAAACTTCAGTCAAGGCTGGCCAGAGGCACAAGCAGATTTTGTGGTGGGTTAGGGTCCACTCCTGGCTGTGGGGCCAGTGGGAACTTAACTTTAGCTCAAGTTTAAGAGCGGTTTATATATTCACCAGCAGTGCATAAATTAGATATTTTGAAAAAAAATCTATGTATAATTTCATTTTATTTTTTATGATAATGCAACATATTGCATTTGTTTGATTCTGATTAAGCGTCACCCTTTGGCAACAGCTTAAGTTATGCTGCTCAAATATTTTGACGTGTGGGCCACAATAAGTAAAATAATATTCATTTCTTGTTAAACAATAAACATGGGAAGTTGTAATAAAACGTTTTTTTTTTTGTTCTTTGCAATAAGAACAGATTATGAGTTTTACTTTTTCTTTTAAAAAACATCCTGAATTTAACTAAGTGTAATGAATTGCTCTCCCAAAGCCTGCTTTTGAGTTAAGGTTGAGGATCTTTGTGGTTTTTACTATAAAATGAAATTTAAAACGAGCAGCATTAATAAAACAACCGATAACATCGTCTCCATGTATCAGAACATTTTCAAAGTCCTTGGTTAAATGTTATTTTTCTTGAAAATTCACTCACATAAATGAGGAGAGTTGTCTTTCTTTGCGCAAATAAGCACCATCCAAACTGTGTGAATGCTTCAGCAACCTCTGCCAGTATCGAAAAAAGATTTGCAGGGAAACTTTGTCTAAAAATATTATTACGTAAACGGTATGAGTCAAATGCATTCAGTGAAGTTGGCGCTTGTTACCTATATTGAGACCTTGTTATTAAGATGTGTTATTGTTGACATTTTTTATCAATTTGATATTAAACTGATAGATTTTCACATTTCTGTCATACTACAAAAATGGCAGAACAGGGTGGAGTGGAATGCTCTGTTATGAAGTGCCTCATTTACATTTAAAGAGACAGTACCAAAATGAGTTGGAGTTAAACTTTATATAGGCCACAACTGAACGATTTAAATGTAATGAAGGATTTTAAAGCACGATGTGTCCACTTGAAATGAACTGATGTGACTCACAACAAAAAAAATCCTGTCATCCAATAAATTAACTCTTCAAAATTCTTATTTTCGAAGTTCAAATTTCAAGATTTGTTTTCTTCAACATTTTTAATTAATTCTTTTTTTTTTTAATTCTGAAAATGTAATTACAGAATATTAACACAGTAGTTTGTTCCGCACTGTAAAGTTCACAGGTAATGACGTTTCCGCAATTTAATCTTACTTAATACATTATATTAATACAAACATGTCTTATCGTTGTGTTTTACAAATAATGTCTGTTCAGTTTTAAGAATAATCTAACTAGTTGTGTATAAATAGCCAGTCTACGCAGGCCCCCCTTTTCCATCCTTTGAATGCATTTACGTGTGTAACCTTATTCTGATTTATTCCGGTCGGCATTTAATACTCATCCTAAAATACCTGAACTCTGGAGTTCTAAATGTGCCAAGTCATGAATAAAATAAAATATAAATACTCAAATAGCTGCCTGAGTTCTGGACTCTGAAGCTGTTACTGGGCTCAGTGTGACCTAAATACTGAAACGGGGCACATTGACAGTCTCAACAGTAATAATGAAAAGGATTTTTTCTTTTTTTCCTTTAAATTTTTATCTGACACACCATTTCAGCTTAAAGTAGAGCTGAGGGTGAAATGAATGTTGTTAATTTAACCCACATTTGTTCCTAAAATAGACTGTGACACAAAAACTTTAACAACGCAAAGGCAACTTCTCTCCTGTTTTTTTTTTTTTTAACTACAAAAATGTAGATAATTTAAAGCGAAGTACCAATTTTACTTTTGTAAAGGTGCTATCGGAGCAAGTGCAGGAGATCTTTAAAGCCCGTCTTGTCTGTCCTCTGCTGACTTTTTAAAACATTTCCGATTGGTGCAAGTAATTGACTAACCGACGTTCCCATCCGCTGGAGCTTTGCTGCAAGCGCGGACAAAATGCTAAGAGGTTTGAAATAAAATGTCTGGGATTTTTTAGAGATTCTACTCATTTCTCGTTGTAATACCTCACAATAATATAAATTCTGCTGTATATGTGAACGTTTCATTTTGTCTGTCTGAATGGATAAAAAGTCAGGTGGTGTGGATTTTAATACTGCTGACTGTTTTTTTCTCCCCCCCTTTGTTTTAAAAATCAGTTCAATTCCAAGTTGCACACACTGACAGGAGCTTTTGTTCCTTTTATCATGAGTGAGCCTCCATGTCAACAGTGGCCTGAGCTGCACTCTCTCACCTCTTTTAGCTCAGCACTGTAGGCTATAAGAACACTGGTCACTGGAGGGTTTTTTTTTCTTCCTTTTTTTGAACTGCTGACTGTTCTCTGAGCAAAAATACCTCCTTAGTAGCATGGTGGTAATTCAGGCATACATATTACCACAAGACACAAAATGTTTTGCTCCACTTTCAGCTTGACAAATGGTGTAAAGCTAGCCTCGGCCGTGTCCTTCCTACTCTACTCCGCTTGATTCAAATCTCGCTTTACAGCTCAGTCTGTAAGTGTAAGATTTTTTTTTTTTTTTAAGTTTGACTCAAAGAATACAGTTTGTGTACTTGCATTTAAGAATTTGAAGGACTGTAGCTGTTGTTTTGTATTTGTGAAAGACTAAAAAAGAAACTAACTAAAATTACAAAACTACAGGCTTTTTTCTCTCTGACTTCAACTTTACAGTCGCATCAAAAATACCTCCGTACTACACAAAGTAGCACATATCTGTGAAATGGAAGGTAGATGAGTCGTGATTTTAGCTGCTTTTTTGCAAATTAAATCTGAAATGTGTGACATATTCAGTCTGTCTGAGTCAATATTTTGTAGTATAACTACCTTTTTCTGGCAGTTGCTTATGAAACGACTAACAATTTTGGAGATGACATCAGGCAGCATCAGTTGGATTGAATTTTATTTTATTTAAAGAGGGTCAAATAGAAATGAAAGAGGATTTTCAGAAATTGATTCAAAGGAAAAAAACCAAACAAGTAATTTTGTTTTTCCTTCGCAATTTTCCCTCAGCTTGGTTTTGATGACATACATACAAAATAAAACACTCATTTTTTTTGTTTTGTTATTGTAATATCCCGAAACGTGAAAAAGTTAACAGCTATAAATACTTTTACATGAAACCGTGTTACTATGCAATTGCAAATCAATTAGTATTAAACATCTAATTCAATTTCTTACAGTTCTTTTGTAGATGAATAAGTGATGAAAGGGCTAATTTGTCACAAAACAAATCTGAATTAATTGCCTGTTCCACAAATGGATTCGTATTTAAACCAGAAAAGGAAAATGAGGAGTTTATAAGTGACATTTTCTTCTATACCTTGTCAAGATTAGTTAAGGTCTCTTCTGTTCCTTCTTGGCAGGCTGTAGGAGAGTGGGGAGTTCCCTTGCTGTGCAAATCCAACATTTCATTATCTGGGGATATCTTCAGCTCACTCTGAAGTGAAAGGAGAAAAAACAAAGACTCTTCATAATTTATTAAATTCTTTGAGGTCTTTAACTCGTGCTTCATGAATAAATCAGAGCCGCGAAACTCCTTGTCTCTGGATACCATGTCATATCAGCTTTCAAAACATAAAACTTACAATGTGACAAGGCTGTGAAAGCTCAAGTTCAGTTTTACTTTGGCAAAAGAAGAAAATGTCTCTAAACAATACCAAAATATTTCAGATATGGCAATAAAGCCAAGATTTTTTTTTCCCTCTCCGGCTCAGGATGTCCAGGCAAATCTTTGACTCTGTCAGTGACATTCGCAGGCAGACATATTTTACAAATCTGAATACCTCATCATCAGTTCTCTGCTCCAAACTGTCATAATGATCTTCTTTACCCTTAAGCAAAACATATTTTGGTTTATAGTCTGCAGACAGAAAAAAAAATAAAAATACTAAGCATCTTTAAAAATGTACATTCATTTACCGAATAGGATTTCTAAGACAGAAGAAAAACTTACCGAGGTCCTCGTACGTCTGTGTGCCAACGTTGATTCTGGTGACAGTCCTCCCATCATAAGTGAGGATTGTGAGAATGTCTGATGAGGTTTCCCTGGAACCAGTTCTTTATCACTTTTTTTTTTTCAGGCCAACAACATTCAAAGCATAACTCAAGGACCCATACAATAAAATGCAGTTGTTTATTCTGTAGATTCAGTCAAAGTAAGTTGATTCACTTGGGGATGAAAACAGATTTAAAATTGAAGACAAATACTGTATTTATATACACTGTCTAAAATTATCCTTATTCATGATGTTGTCATGGGTTTGCAAGCTTCTAATAACTTTACTTACATCATTTTATGTAATTGGAGTCACACCTTTGGAGACACCTCAAACACACTGCTTCCTTTTCTTAACATCGTGGATATTTGGCAAGATGCATGGGAAAAACCATATGCTATCACAATTTTTGTGTATGTATGTATATATATATATATATATATATATATAAATAAGTTTTGCTGTAACAGTCGTCATTATATTTGAAGAGAAAGTAAGGAAGCTTGCAAAGCTGACAGCACCATCCACATTGCAAAGTAAGGAGATTATCTGTGTTTGTAGGGTGTGTTCATAAAATAGATGCCATTATGAGAAAAGAATATTATATGGAAATGTTGAGAAAACATCTCGAGACATCAGGAAATTAAAGCTTGGGTATAGATCAATCTCCCAAAGTGACAGACCCTAAGAATCCGACAAAGCATCTTAGAAAACAGCTCAAAAACAAAAAAAGTCGTTGTTTTGTAGTAGCTATCACAAAGTCCTCATCTTAATCTTAAAAAAAAAAAAAAAAAAATGTTTGGCCAGCGCTGCAAAACGTGAGTGGGAATGACGTCCTGCATACCTGACTCTGTCAAAGACAAGTTCTGTCAAGATAACTGAGCCTATAATCCAGCAAGTTATTTAAAAGGCTTGAAGTTGTTCAAAAATGTTTGATACAGCACATAGTACAGTTTAAAATGACATTTTTACTAAATACTAGGTCAATATATGTAAACTTCTAAAAATGAAGAGGTTTTAAAAACTTCCAAAAATATTCCAGGCTTTAGGAAGCCTATTGTTATCCTCCTAACTCATGCCAAACAGGAAAAGTGTAGCCTAATTTAATGCGAGAGTGAGCAAAATATGATTATGGCATCTCTTTAAAGCGTGTACGTGAGTATCTGTTTTAGCGACTCATATGCAATAGATAACATAGCATGCAACTCTTGCTTCACTAAATAAATAAATCGATTTAAATCAAGCCTCATCACATGTCGTCTGACCTGCTCGGGTTTGGCTCCATATTAACTCTCGTGCATTAACTCTAGATTTGGGTCAGTTCTCTCCAGACGTCTGTTTGTTTACAGGTCCAGGATTTGTTTTTGTCTCCATCTCAGTTGATTTGCCTGGCGAGCCGGGTGTTTGCATCATGTCTGTGATAGTCTTGACTCATTGTGAAGCAGGGGTGAGCAGAGAAACCACAAAAAGTTGCATCAGGCACAATACGGTCAAATAAAAACAGCCTGTTTTGCCCCCTAGTGTAACTTAGCAACCAGAGAACAATAACGGAGCTGCGTGAGTGTGTGAGTGTGTGTGTAGCAGACACAAAGAGAAATGCACACAGAGGTTCCTTAGAGTAGACTTCTTTTACCTGAAATCTCATCATCCTGTTGTGGATTACCTTTGCACCAGTGGTGCCCTGAAGCCTCATGTAGGTATATAAACATTTGGAATAAAATTACTGTATATTCAGTTCTTTGAAGGATTTACATTTTACTGCTCATTATTTTCGGTTGGGCTCAGGTTTCTGCCATCGGTAGGGATCCACCTCAAATCCATATAACTGTAACGACAAAGATGTCGTAAATCAGGAATACATCATTGGTTGTTAGGGTAGATGGTGGTGTTATTTAATGTCTAACACATTAATTAACAACCCTAACCCGACCTAAGGGAGGTAAAAATACCAGAGTTATGGATAAAAAAAATTCTGTTCCTCTAAAGCGGATCACGTCATCTCTGAAACTCCCATAGCTGTCAATGAAATCTCCAGTTAAAACAATCGTTTTTTTTTTTTCTCTTCAGAGTTTCTTAATTTTATTTTTGAAAAGTGTCTAAACGAGAATGGCAATCAAGTGTGTAAAAACAACTTAAGAGGTGTATAAAGTGTAAGTGGGTTTACATAAATGGTAGACATTACGACTAGCCCACGAAAACTTCAGAAGGATTTCAAAAGAAAAATTGTTTGCGATTTAACGGATAGTCTTAAAGACTGTGCCTTTCATGTATTTTCCTCTAGAGTTGGGTCGTGCAGCTGTGAAAAAAGCACACCCTAATTAAGTTCTAGCTTTTTTTTTTGAGACGAACTTAATTTTTCAGAAACATTTTCATTTGGACTTCATCTTTGTTTAATAAATAATGACATGGTGTGTGGTTTTTGCACACTTGAGGTTAGCATTTTAAACATGCATATCCTTGAACTTATCAAGGGTGTCCTTTTTTCTAACCATTACTGTATATGTGCTCACCATCAGTATTTGCGTAAGCTTAATTATTTAAAGAGTCTGGGAAGAAAACTAATTACCAATCTTTCAGTGAGTGATGTAAAATATTCATTTACAAAAGCCAGTTGCGTTTCGTCAAACTAGTTCTGCAATAATTAAATGAGATATTGCTCATATTTAGCCTCTTTCCATCTAAAATTGCCATTTTTAATCAGGTACTTCATTTTATTTCTTTTAAAGACGCAGCAATATTAATTCAAGAGGGTTTTTATCTGTCTTCCTTGTAAAATGAGTTTTTCACACTTCAGCCTTGTTAATAGAAATGACTTATCACCGTAGTCTGCCTATAACAAGACAACTGAAACGTAATACAGTGAAACAAATGTTAGCAATGACTTCAGGCAAATTAAAAGCGCACTACAATTAATTTAAGGCTGATCTTTTAAAATCTTAATCTGTCAGTGCAAATTTACTGGAATCTTTAGTCACAATATAATTACAAATTGAGACAAAAAAACCTGGTGTGCTGAAACTCAGGACGTGCCTGTTTTATAAAATTATATGATGTTAATAACATTTTTATTCATCAAAAGAATCTCTGTTTTCATTTTGTTCTATGATGAAAAATACAGACATTGTTGGCATCTCTTATCAAAAAAAAAAACACTAAAAGTCAAACATAGAAATGAAGGAAAGGGGCATTAAACATTTGGGTTATTAAGCAAAGAAAATGGAAAAATAATTTCTCATTATAGTTATGTCTTTGCTGATTTCTTTTGAAGTAAAATTGCAACAGATTGAGCACAGTAAAAAGCAGCTCAAAACCGGTTTTGACAGGTTTTTACAGTTGTCTCATGTAAGGAGATCACTTGTTCAGTTTGTGCCTTACATTGATTATTCTCTAAAAAATGTGAACTGATGTTTTCAAACTGAAGACTCGGCTGTAATATAAACTGAACCTCACCTGACTCCGGTTAAGACTTGCTTGCATATTAAGCCATCGTGCTTGTCAATTTGTGCAACTCTACGCTGGAACATGTTACAGAAATAATTAGAAAACCAATGTTAGCTGCACGCTGTTTGATGCTTACCAATTTGTGAGTTACGTGAATTTTGTCAGCAGCTTTCTTTTGTCTAGAAGTGGTAGAAATGAGCATTACTTGATAAATTGATAGCAGGAATTAATTGAGCAAATTATTTCCTACCATACATACCATAAAGTATAGTGTGTGTGGTATTTACATATTATACACTAAATGGTAAATATCTTGTTTTAACTTTACTATTATGTTAAACAAAATGCCATGTTATGGCAAAATGGTGAGTCTCATCCAGAACGTAGAATGTAGATGGGCAGATATTAAATAAAAAGACAACTGCTTTTTCATTTAAAAAACAGAAAAAAATGCAGTATTTTAAACAATAAAAAAAAACAATTGTGCTTTTTAAACATATTAAATTAATTAATACATAATCAATAGATTTTTATGTATTTGTGTGATTGGTGACATTTTTGCTTTTGTCACTATGGAGAAAAAAAACACAAACACAAGATCCTCAAAAGATTGAACGTACTGAAATTCTGTAAACTCTGGCACTGTCACAAATCATAAACTGGGTTTAGTATTGCTCCTTTAATTTGCACTGGGCTGTGTGTTTTGAAGTGCCTTCTTTTTTTCCACTTGCTTGGTAAGCTTCTCCAGCCGGGCGATGAAACGGTAATGTGGCTTTATGTTCTGCATGTTTGCCAACGGGTGGGACATGCAGGTTTGCATCTGGTCAAGCAGACAGTAAATCCTTGTCTTCTGCATTTGGATTTCTCTCTCCAAAATGCTTTGGCCTAGCTGTGCATGGCTTTCTGGGCAAGTGAGCTGTATTTAAGATTAAAAACAAAAAAAAGAAGAAGGATAAAAAACAACTTTTTCTTTTAATGCACTGTTTTTTCATCAGTAAGCCATGGCTGCTGTGCCTTCATCACACATTTCACAGTGAAGAAAACACCTTATCAAAACATGTACAATGTGTTTTGCATCTGTGCTGACCCACCTCGAGCTCCGAGCCAACGCTGAAACGCACATGGTTTTCCTTGTACATGAAGTTAACATACACACACTCTTGTGAATGTATGTGGATAGAGATGCATGGCCCCATGGCGAAGATGAGGGGCTTGAATGGAAGGTTGTGCACATGTGGGTCAAAATACAGCCAGTTCCAACGCCTCCTCAACTCGCCCGTCTCCCCGAAGCAGAAACCTCCACTAGAGGTTATGTTCAACCTTTAAGAACATATAAAAGCAAAATCAGAACAAAAAAAAAGCAGACTATCTCTCAAATGTGTAACTATTAACCAAATGCCAGAAGAAAGATTCCTTACAATTATAGTTTTAGTCTGAAGTTCAGCACAAATATCACAATGTCAATGATTATGTCAATCACTCTTTTATCCTCCGTGGTAACATCGTATCACCACTGAGTTGAAAGAACTGGACACATGCAGGCTCACATAAATTCCTACGTCCCAATCCATATTTTGAGTAACTTCTTGACTGATCGCTTGGCAATAAAGACATTGCACTTGAAACACTACTTTTGGCTGCGCTTTTAATAATGCAAATCAAATTAGCAGCACACAAAGAATCGAGACAAATGTGGCTGAGTAATCAAAACGTGTGACCACCACCAAACCCCTTCTTAAGAAAAGTCGGAAAAATCCAAAGCCCACTGCTGGAGCTACAACTAAGCACCAAAGAAACATCAGAGGATTAACAACACCAGCGAGAGTGAATCATGTATGGTTTGGGGGTTTTAGAAGTAACACATTATCTGGGTATATCCTTTCATGATCAATAAGTACTTGTTACTAGATGATATCTTGATTTTTACCTCCCTAACCTCATTGTCAACAAACCACATACAGTTCCCGTGAATGTGCTTTCATTGATTTAAAAGAGTAAAAATATAAAAAGTCATTCCCTCAGATTTGAAAGAATAAGGTAACGGTACAACAACCGTAACCCATCGAAGATGTAAATATTTTTTTTTGCCACATTTTCTTTTTTTTTTTTTTTGTTTACCTGCATTTGTTCTGTAACAGACTGTTTACATGTAAAGATACCACAGCAGAAGTTGGCAGCAAAGCACATTTTGGAAGTTATGTAGAAGTTAATTTATGCTTCAAAATAATTAATCAAGAAACAGTTACCATATCAATCCATTGGAACGGTAGCACGTAGCGCAGCCTTTAGGTGTGAAAATGCCTATCATTCTGGGCTTCTTGTCCTTGTCCTCAAGGATCACATAAATGAAGTGAGGATATTCTGCTGGGGTTATTACGATGGCTGGATTCCCAGAAGGATAACTTTTTTTTCCCCTATTAAGAACCATTAACAATGTGCAAACTCTTTCTCATAAGTAATTTATCTTCTTTTCCTTTTCCTTTTTTTTTTTTTTTTTTACCAGAACGCAAAGGATACAAAACACCACCTGATCCGTCGGCATACTTGATCAGGAAAACAGGCCCTTCTTTGTACAATTTCTGTATTACGCTGGTTGTCTGCAACACAATACACAATTTTAGATATTTCTAAATATATTTTACAATATGACAATCAAAATTCGTATTTAGCCCTTTCCCTCATTTAGATTTTTTTTGTTTTGTTTTTTCCCCCACAAATTCACTTTTGATTAGACACAAATTACTGGGTAACGCTTTATTTGAAGGGGTGTGCATAAGACTGACATGACACTGCCATAAACATGACATGACATCTGTCATGAACACAAAGAAGTCTTTATGAATGTTTCTGACAGTTGTCATGAAGTGCCATTCGGTAAATAATTACACTTTTAATG